TGACATGACTAAAGTCACATAAAAAGGAGGGATGAGGAAACTGAGTAAAAATAATCCCTTCAAATAATTTAAGAATGAACTGGCAGAAAAAGTTAAGACTACCTGGAAAGAAATTTAAGTGATTTGAATATCCAAAGAGGCAATTAGACTTATTAAAACTCCTAAATGAATACGTACATATCAGAAAGGAATGTGAACTACTGAAGAGACTTTGTAGATAATCAAAGAGAATTCAGAACTTTGAAGGCTTTAAGAGGTGGAGTTATAGACCAACCCCGCCCCCTAAATAATCACCTCCAAAGCAATACTTTGAATGTAAAGCCACGAACGTGCAAACGGTCAATTAACTGGAAAAGAAACTCTCTTGAGATCTGCAGTAATACAGCACACGTCACGCGGCTGAGGACGTATGGACGCCGCCCCGCGCACATCTGTGCAGACTGAGTGACACACGCGTGTGCGGGGCAGCACAGGCATTCCTTTCCATTTAGTAAACGCGGCACAAAGAGTCTCCTGTTGGACCGGAGCTAGAATTACCTCACAAAGTAAGATACGCCAACCTTAACTAGAAACAAAGCAGCTGTCAGAAAGTTCTGCTGTGCTCTTTGGAAACAGAGGTTAACTCCTTCCTTGCTTCAAGCATAACAAATGTGACTTCCCAGTAAATCACAAAATAGTTAATTTCCATTTAAAAGTCTTGAGAAAGGTACTCCTCCCAGTGAACATGGAAGGAAAAGTTGGTTTAGCTGGGAGGAAAGATATTTTTGATGTCTATTTTATTACATAAAATCACATCAGTGATAAAAATTCTTATCTTCATAGGATCAGTTACTGCACAACTTCTTATTTCCTGGTAACTCAAAATTAGGTGATATTTAAAATAAAAACTACAGGAGTTAAAAAAAAAAGTACAGAAGTTAGATTTAGATAATTGAATGTAAATCTATTGAAAGCATATTTCTGAAACTAACATGGACTTTATGTCATTTCTTGAGGGTGCATATTACGACAAGCAGTATTCAGTGATTAAATATGTTCCACAGTCCTTAAAAAACCCAACTATGATCTCACTTCTCAACAAAAGACACGCTACTCTTCAGAGTTTATCACGTGTAAAATGTCTCGGGGAGAAGTATGGTGCTAAATCAGGAAATGTGGGTGGGGGAGGGAGAGGAGGTAGACACATTTGCACTTTTTGCACATGCTTTTGAAGACTCAGTAACTTTCCTGCCTTAATCAAAGACCATATATGAAGATTGTTTGGCAGATATAACTTCTAGCATATATATTTCAAAAGTATGAACAATTTTAATAAAAAGCCTTGAAAAGTGTGATTATGAAATGTAAAGGATAATACAGAGTGTGGCCTGCTACTAATATCAGGATACAAACACTATTTGAAAAAAATATCATACAGAAAGAAGACTTTTGTGGAAAAGTGATATAGATTTGGCATTCTCGGGCCACCTAAAAGACTGGGACAACAATTTGTGTCTTTTGGAATACAAGTTAGATTTGGCCCCCGGGAGCTGCAACCAAAAGTAGTTTTCTTTCGAGGTCCGGATAAACCATTTTAATAATACTGGTTTGGCTATTAAGTACCTAAATTTGCATTGTCACAAAACATATTTCTAAGACAATATTTTTAGAGAACTGGTAGTACACCCACGTTCTCTGTAGAGAGGACACAGTATTTGGAGGTGGTGAAGAGAAAGCAGAGTAGGAATATACTTATTTTACCCACCAAAAGTAAGGCTCGTACAATGGTTTCGCTGTTATTGTTTATTTTTGTTTTGGAGTGCTGGAAACACGTTAGGCAAGTACAATAAGTTTAAAGAACAGATAAGGATATTGGAACTATACTCTCTCTTCAAAAGACAATCTGAAAATCTATGGGAATAAACAGAATACCGACAAGTTTTACATGCTCAAGGAACTTTCTGCCCTAGGCAAGCTTTCACCAGGGCTAAAGTTCACTTCGAGGGAAAAAAAAAACCCCACACCCTCTAACGTAAGTTTATGTTTATTTAGGTTAATTTTTAATCAGACTATCTAGTTTAGCTAAGCAGTCATATGCATTATTATAGGAAATCTGCCCTCCGACCAGGCTTTTAATTAATTAATTTTTATAATCCACTTGCAGTCAGATTTTATGCCTTAAAATATTTTTTGGATATCTATAAACAGAAAATTGTTAAGATTAATATAAAGTCTTTTATCAGGCGATAACTTACACATAAATGCAAGAACATGGAAAAATCCTGTTGAGAATCTAGCTTTTTGTTTAAAGT